TGAATCTGGGGGTGTTTGGGGACAACACCAGTGAGTCTGGGGGAGGTTGGGGACAATATTGAGGGAGTTTGGAGAGTTTGGGGACAATGTCAGTGAGTCTGGGGGGACTTGGGGACAACATCAGGTGAGCCCTGGGGCGTTTGGCATTAAAGCCTCTTTGCATCCCACCTTCCCTCTGGTTCAGGTTTATAAAAGAGCCTCATTATCCCTCTTTAGCTTGGAAAACAGCTGATTTTCCAGAAGCCCAGCCCTGAACTCCACAGCCAGGTGGAGAAGCAAGGAAAAGTGTTCCTTCATTTGCAGGAGGGATATTTGCAATAAAACAGGCAGTTGTAATCCAGCCCTGCTCTAGAATGAGTTTAAAAGCAAAGCACGAGAGCAGACTCTGGGCAGTTGAACAGATCTTTTCCAAGGAATGAAATCCTCATTGGAATGAGGAGTGAAGGGACAGTGCTCCGATGGAATCCATGGAAAAGTGCAGCCATTTTCCCACTCCTGAGGGAGGGAACAGGGATAATCAGGAGCAGAGGCAGTTCAGGGAGGCAGGGAAGGGGATTTAGTGTTACACAACTTGCTGAATCCAGGGCTCAGAATTTGCTGCTTTTAGAGAATTCCTTTAATCCCATTAAAGCTGCAGCTCATCCTYTCTCCTTAGAAATGTACCTGGCACTAGGATCATCCCAACAGTCCTGAAATTTGGACCATTTAGTTACGGACAGAGAGGTGCTCCAGGCCATCCCAGTGCTCCTGTTCCTGAGCTCCTAAGTTTGTCTCCATCCCAGGAATTCCTTGGGATCCAAGGCTGCACCTCTGCCCTTCCCATCTAGGATTTTTCCTGAGCCTTGGAGACGTCAGAACCTTGATAAGGCCAAAAAGTTCCAGATTAAAAAAGAGAATTTAATTTAACAGAAATATTTAGTTCTAAACATAAAAAAWTACAATAAAATAAAAGATATCAGACTTTTCAGTGCTGGCAGAAGTGGCTTCATGTGGGAGAGGGACAGGGAGGAATTAAATCCCTGAGGAGCTGCCCAAGGAGCCTCGTGCCCAGTTTAAAATGAGCAGGAAGCAGGAAGAAGTCTGGGATTGGGATGTTGTGGCTGGATTTGTGGTTGGAAATKGAGAATATCCTGCAAAACCTGAAATATTCTGGGAGTGGTGCCCCCTGSCAGCTGTGTCCAGCTGTTGGGGAGAGAAGTGAATTGGAATATTTGAGGAGTCTTGATAATGTGTCAGTGTCCCTGGGATTGCAGGAGTGCTGAGCAGCCTTTCAAAGAAAATGTCCCTGGAAAAGCTCCACAAGCAGATCCGTAAGCAGGGGAAGGAACTGTTCCCAGATCCAAGGGGAACTGGGAATTTCTGGGCCTGCAGCACCCTCTGCTGCTGTCAGCAGGGCCTCCTCTGTGTGCACACCGGGAATTGGGGCATTCCTGGGATATTGGCAGCACAGCCCCACCCCGGGCTGTGAGCCACTCCTGCACTGGGATCCACGGAATCCYGGGATTCCTGAGGCTGGAAAAGCCCTCCCAGCCCATCCAGTCCAGGCTGTGCCCCATCCCCACCATGTCCCTAGCTCAGATCACTCAGTGCCACCTCCAGGAATTCCCTGGACACCTCCAGGGATGGGCACTCCAAACCTCCCTGGGCAGCCCCTGCCAAGGCCTGAGCATCCTTTCCATGGAGGAATTCCTGCTGATGTCCAACCTGAGCCTCCCCAGCCCAGCCTGAGCTGTTCCCTCTCCTCCTGTCCCTGTTCCCAGCTGCCCCCAAGGAATCCCCTCCAGTGCCAGCCCTGCCAGGGAATGTTTGGGGCTGCAATAACCCTTCCTTCCCTCAGTGAGGGGACAGCGTGGCAGGGATGTGGCTGTTCAGGGACCACAGCCCAGGAGAGGCTCTGCCTGGGCTGCTGCTCTCCTGTTGGGGAGTTCAGGCTCCTTGAGCCATCCCTGAGGCTCCTCCCTC